TCTCCTGGCAGATGCAGTGTCTGATTTCAACTTGCTAAGGTGACCTAAACTGTGCTGTCATCTCCCAAGGGTGGGTCTTTTCCCCACCTACTTCCTCCAGTGGCTGAATCATCAAACAAAGCTGTCACTAACAAACGAAGCATCACAGCTTTAGACTGAGATTTCATAGGCATTGCCTACAATTTGAAACCTTTCGCCCAGGAACTGCAATGCATCATTTTCTTTTGGAATTCACCATGGAAACATTTCATGTCATTCAGAAGCTTTCTGTACTGCTCAAGTACTAGCAAATTTACTGCAAACACTCTTCCAGAAGTAATCTCATGGTTTCCCTTAAAAGGAATTGAGGCATTCCTTTTGTCCTTATCATAAAGCAGCATGGGAACCACAGAGCATCAATAGATAAAAAGAGAAATACTTCAGACTGAGATGAATCATTTAACTGTATCATTTAATTAAACTTTCCAAGCAGAGGCAACAACGCAAGTGTCTCTGAAGACACATATAATTTTTTTTAGAATGCTACAATAGCCAAAAACCTCTTTCCAAGCTGCAAAAGAGCAAAGAGAATTTGCACAGCAAAACCTTTTCACTTGGTGTTTCCAAACCACTAATGTTTTCAATATCAACAGTCTTCCTATAGCAGCCAATTTCTCCACAGCTTCTAAATGGGTAATTAACAGCAGTAATGGAATTCTGCCACTTTTACAGGAAGAAATGCAAGAGATACTTGAGAGTACTATTGTACTTTTTTGAATAAATGGAAATGTATTTGAACGAATTTAAATAATAATTGAAATATTTTTTATTAAATTGAAATTTAGTGTTTATTAATACAAGCTTACTTTTTTTACTAGATTAGGGTAAAACAAGGACTTTCAGTACTGTAACATGCTTCTTACTGCCAAGAGACAAAATTCAAGAGATAATAAACGTTTTGTTGTTTGTCTTTTAATAATTTTTTCTTTTTTCTACATACAGAATATCCAACTTGCTGGAATTTCATCGGATGTGGACTTTCCAAAAAGTTTGTTTACTTCAGATCATGGAGACACCTCTCAAGTAACTCTCAAAATATTCTGATACAATCTGGCTGTTATCTTGTCAGCTGATCAAGACTAATCAGCTCACATGTCTCAAAGCTTCCAAACACAAAACCGAGGGTAATATTTTCACAGCAGTACTAACAATACTAATGAGGACAAGAAGCACACAGTTAATGACTCTGAACACATGATCAACAGTTTCAGTGGGAAGGGAACCAAGTCCAGGGTTCAGTTCCAGTTTAAATTTTTTGATAATTTAAAAGAGTCCAGGGGGACAGAGGGTGAGGAAGAAGAAAAACAGTTCTGATTATTAAGTTTAGTCTCCAAGTCTTACCAGAATAAAAACTGCTTCTGAGCAGCAATTTCATCTTTGCCCTGATATTTAGCCACTGTGGGGACTGTCAGAAATACTCTGTTATCTGAAAAAAACTTCACTTCATATACTTTCATTTCCACACTTAGTATTATTTTATGCACATTTACAGTTCTATACATTCACGATATGTGCAAATATATGGTAAGAGGATACAATTACTACCTTATACTGCATTGTACATGCATTTTCTACATGGCTTTGTATCTTCTTCTCAAATTCTAATAGAAATTCTAACCCTATACAACCAGTTTATTTTCAAACACTGCATGGTTTGGTTTTTTGGTTGACTTCTTACAGTATTGTTTCCAGCAGGGCAAAGCTGGCAAGTTCACAGGAACACACGTTCAGGACTGTGTCTGAGCTACCCCCCTATGAATGCTGCTACTCCTTGCCAATCAGATGAGCACCTGCTGTGATGTTACCTGCAGACTCCGCTTACAGAGCTTCAGTAACTCAACTCATTCCAAACACTGCATGAAATGGGAAAAGTAATTGGACAACAAACCCATGAAACCAACACTACGGAGTACTACAAACTCTTCAGAACACTACTGAAACACAATAAAAGAAAGAAAATTTCTTCTTCAGTTCAGTAGTATCTCCTATGTAACTAACAGTAATATATTCAAAATAGGCACATTCTTTTATTTGGAATTGTTTTCAGTCAACATAATTAAAACCCTTCACAGGAACACGATTCCACAACTGCTGTAGCATCTACAGGCTAAGTAAAATCTTGGAAGGAACCCTGGGATATTATATTATATTTAACAAAGTTATTAGGAAACTTTCTGCATCAGAGTTTGTTTCCTTTTAAAAACCAAACAAACATCCTAGGACATATGTTAGTGAACAAGCTAACTAGAACATTTCTGGAGGAAACTAGATGTTATACAGAACAGATGTTACATAACACCCTTGGGGGAAAAAAGGAAGCTTTTTCAGAATAGCAAAAACACTGTCTCAGGTGAGCCTCAAAGTTCTGAGAGCTAGGTTAAAGCTGCAAGCAGATATTTAACTGGATATGCGAGGTAGAAGACTACCTTATAAAACCAAACCAGAAGCTAAGCCTACAACCAGTTAAAACTCTCAAGGCAAGTTTCATAACAAACAGTAGCATACTTGTTTTCAAGTAACAACCTTCTAGATAGAGGAGCTCTTTACATATGAGACTTTTCCTCAGCCCTCCTACAGAAATGTTCAAGCTATGATATGAAGCACAGTCTCCTAAGGCAAAAAAAAAGACTGTACCTAGTCAGACGAAGACAGGTTTTGTCCTGTTTCCAGCAGTGACCAACAGGATACTCACAGGGAAAATTAAGAAGAGAAGAGGCATGCAGGGATCATTCTCTAGGATGCTCTCCAACAGTTTGCAATTCTGGCATTTCAAAGGTCAGAGGTTGGGCAGATTTATGGAAGAAGATATATTCACCTCAAAACTACAGCCCTTCAGCTGCGAGGAGCTCTGCAGTTTCATGTTGCATGAAGAACTATCTCCTTTTATATTAAGACTGCAGGTCTCTGATACCCTTCAGGAAAGGTTAATAGAAAGCAGGTTTTGACTATTGTTTAGCCTCCATAATATCTAACTTCAGCTATTTCTTTTCCAGCTCAATCCAGTGTTCTTTAGATGAAGCCTTCTGACACCTTTGATCCTTGTCCAAATTTTTAGTGCTTGAATTCTGTAATACACTTTTGATGTAAGACCAGACGTGCATATAGTATTCAGGTTACCAGCTATCCACACAATGCCATTATGTTCTCTGCTCTTACTAGTTTCCAGATAATTGCTAATATTCAATTTCCTTCACCTTTTATGGACTATATTCAAAATCATATCCAAGTAAAACACAAAATTTATGCTCCATCACCACATATACAGGGATGGGATTTCTCTCTGTCTTACCTCCATGCACGTTACCTATCCATAACCTATTATTACTCAGTCACTCAGATCCCTGACAATGTGCTACAGACAGCACCTGCCTTTGTTACAGACACAGCATCAGCATACTGTGCCACCTTCTTATTCAGACGTTCTGGAATACAAGTAAATGACAAATTTTTGATTCCGTGTAAGAATGCAGACAGAGGTAGGATCCAAATCAAACAACCAAAGACACAGTAGACTCATCTGCCTATTAGTTTATGACAAAAAAAATCAAATAATTACCTTTTAGAGAAGTGATTCCTAATAAATCTGCACATTCCAAACCCTGTTATGTTCATTCCTCAGAAATAAAAAGGAAATTCACAGTCCAGCTAGTCTGAATATCAAACCTATAACAAATTAAAACAGCCTGCCCTGTCCATGTTTCATTTAGTCCATCAGGTTTCTTGTAATACCTAAATGCCTCATAACTATTGCATGAACTGACATACTCTAAGGAGTTAACAGAAAGGTAGATGCCTTTTTCTCCAGGAGTGAAAAAAAATGTCAGACTTCCTAGAATGCACAGTATAGAACAACTAACCCTTAAAATTAAAGGGATGCTTATTAATAAAGGCAGATTTACAACTGCTTCCAGGTATTTAAAAGGGTCCTGAAGATAATACTCATACTCCCTCTAGATAGTTACAAAGCATGGACCAGTTAAGTACTGAAGGGACAGATTAAATTACTGAATAGCAAAACACAGTCCAAGGATAAAGGCTGGTACACAGTTCTGGACTGTGAGGGAGAGAAATAATATATTAATCCCCAAAGCCATTTTTCACATGGTGCTCAGCAGTAGCCAAGAAAACATATCTAAACATAAAGGGAAAAACCTAGAAGATATGAAATTTGAAGTGGAAGGACAGAAAGAGAAAAGTCCTCACAACTACATAAAGTCCATGTTGGGTCAAGATCAAGGCAGTACACAACAGCATGTAACATCCAAGACACAGTTCAAAAGTCAGATCAGTGCTTATCTGCTGGTTTAAAATTTGGCCCAACACCACATCAGGGGCGAAGAAAGAAAACTTCAGTGAAGTTATCTTTCAAGAGTTTTAACCTAAACATAGATGAGATTGAATTAATCTATATACACATACGTATATTTATTCTTATTTATATATGTTATGCATATGTGTGACAGAGTTTTGATTTTAACTTGCTCTTGATCCCAGTTAAATGATTTGCAGAAGGTCAGGTTCAAGCAAAATTTCATTTGCTGCCATTATGTCAGAATTGGGTAAGTACTGCCAATCAAAGCAACAGATCAGCTGTCAACTACTGCCACCTCACTGAGGCAAGGGCACATTCCCAATTTAAATATTGACTTAAGAGTCCTGCATTTCATCCATACTAGAATTCTTTCTATTGCTTTCTCCACTGCAATTACCTTTGATATATGTGGTCAATGTTCCTTTAAGTATCTAGCAACTTTTACAATCAAGTCCTCAGTGTAAGTTCAGTATAGGCTAGGTGTCCCTACAACAAAAACCACTCATTGTTCAAACAAGTTCTGTGTATGCCTAAAAAACAATGAACACTTAACTTAAAAAAAACAAAAAACAAAGAGACTCTTCAGGGAAATCTTGATCAGCAGCTAACAGCTACAACTGATTGAAACTCATATGGGAAAGACACATACCACTCCATCTGCAATCTTCCAGTCTGCACAGCTTTCGTATTTTTGCAGTTGCTTTTCAAAGAGCTGTGCTATGGCTCGATGGACAAGTTCATACTGCTCCTACAGGAGGTCACCAGATAAAAATTAGTGCCTGAGATCTTTACAAAGAACAACAGTATATTATCATCTGATAAAGACTGAATTTAAAACAAACTATACCTTTGTCTGTACTGCAGAATGCCTTTGTGTCCTCATTTCCTGTATCAAATTAAAGACATTGAATTCTTCAGGTATTTTCTGAAATAGAAGGAAGTCAATTACAGTTTGTCAGATGAGCAATACAAAAGCTGTTACACATACTTTTGGATGTCTAACTGTTTTAGGTAAAGTCAATCTGTTCTCTCCACATTGCAGCATTCACTTTTTTTTTAAAAAAGCAATTCCTCTCCAGAACTGGTTTTGAACATTTGATTTAGACCAGATAAGAGCATTTCAAACATTCTGAAAATTAAACATTCAATTAAAGCATTCATATGACACCACAGCATTAATGATGCATCATAACCCAGAAACCCCAGCACAAAGGTAATCCTGCATATCTGAAGTATCAGGCTTTAGGAGCTGCAGGATTAAGCAGACACATTGAAAAAGTTGAATTCAAAATAACTTTGTATTGAAGTACATTTTAAAAACATTTAGAACCTAACAGTGATTTTTTAGATAAAAACTTGCTGTCAAAGGAAAGTTCGTTCATATAAAGCATTAATGTAATGAAACTAAACATCCAACCTGTCAAAAGTTTCAGAATATCTTAAACATTTCACTATTTTAGAACATCCAGGAGCTCAATTGCTGTTATGAATTAACGAAATGCCATAAAATTTCTTCCTTTAAGATTCCTTACCCCGGCTTTAAGCAAATTCCATGTATAATCTATGGCACAGATGGCTCCTGTTCTTCCACACCCTGCACTATGAAGATAAACAATTAGGTGTGTTAGAAATTATTTTAATTTGTTAAGAACAAACTAAAAGCTTCCTATCTACAGTCCATGTGAAAAAAAAAAAAAAAAAATCCGTCAACTTATTTTAAGGTCACTCAGACTAACACTGAAGTGGGAATTGCAATCATGAAAAATGCTTCAATGCATACATTTTTATTGCCTCTTTCATCACTCTATTCCTAGTTAGCACTGCTTCAACAGCAGGGATTTTATCAAAGTTTAATGACAGATACATTAAATGACAGTACAGAATACATTTTAAGAATTCCCACATTTTTCTGATTTAGTATTATATCTATTTTTCTGCTTTTATCTAAAATCTTAAACCTGAAAGTTACAAAAAATGACAGCAAACTATCATTCATTCTTCTTAATAGTATGAATTTATCTATTTTACAGAGTTACAATGCATGCATATTTATTAATTATCCTGTTGTAACAAAACAACTTTCACAACTGTACTGACATTCAAGATAAACAAGTGAAATGGGTTTCAGTGCTAACTAAAGATTTTATGACTTTGCACCTCAGTTAGAGCTAGAAATTAAAAAAGAATACAGCTAAAGACAGTAAATTTCTGTACACTTTAAGAGAATAACCAAGCTCTAAAGAGTTAATAAGCCCTAACACTTTAACATTTCCTGGAACTGAATCCTGAATCTGAATTCAGTGTTTCTGACATAAAATACATTAACTTTTGCTGCTTTAAAAAGTATGAAATATCACAGGCAAGACCTTTCCAGAGAATCTGTCAGAAACAGCCAGCTCGCTAAAACACGTTCATGGCAGTTTAGTTTCAACAGTCCTTTTCTTAGCCAAATTTCAGGCCAAAGAAGAAATTGCCGCTCAGAAGCAAAGACTTACTAACCAGAAACTACAGCGTGATCATCAGAGATCTTTTTTGTTGTATTAGAAGACAGACAAAAGTTTTTAGGTAGTGATGCACCTGCTACATAGTCTCTCCTATGGAGAATGGAGCCTTCACTGCTATCTGAAATGATCTTAAAAGTCTACTTTGTTCTAATAAGGACTTACATGTCTTAAGAACCACAAAACGGTTTCCCTTCAAGATTTATTTTTTTCTCATTGATATTATGTCTTTAATTGAAATAAAAGCGAAATTTCACCACAGCATGAGTCTTAAGACTATAAAGACCACATAATTTTGAGCCAAGTTTGGACATGAGGAACTATTTCTTTTTAGAAAACTAAAATAAATAAAATTCTGAGTTAGAATCAAACTAGTGCATCTCATACAAAAAGTCTAGTCTTCAAATAAAATATATCTAAACTTTAAAAAAAAAAAATGTATTTGATACCTGCAGTGTATACAAATTGGTACATCTTCGTGTTCCTGATATTCTCTCATCAAGCTGATCATGTCCAGAATAGAATCAAAAGATGAAGGGACATCATGGTCAGGCCAGTTAACATAATGAAATTGATAGACACTACGGGTCTCCTAAAGGAGAGGGAGGAAGAAATGTGTTAATGATAATACATATTTGAGGAGTTTATATGAAACAATTAGTTCTATGAACCTATGATTAAGCACGAACAAGCAAAGCCATTTAAAAGAAACCCTACAGCTTATACCACATAGAAAAACAAAAGGGAAATCCTGAAATATTATTTTGAGTGCTGCTAATGCATAGGACAAAGCACTACAGGACACTTCACAGAAGCCCTTCTCTGTAATCATGGCCTGAAAGGGACTTTAAAAGGTCATTTAGTTCAAACCCTCTGCAGTGAGGATGGACATCTTTACTTAGGTCAGCTTGCTCAGAGCTCTGTCCAACTCAACCTTGAATGTTTCCAGGCTTGGAAATAAATAGGTTCTAAGACCCACAATGTTGCACTGTTAGAAGATTCTCTCTCCTTACAGTCTTAAACTTTGAAAGGGAGGAAGAATGAGAAAGACCACCATGAAAAGTTCTTTTTTCAATCATATTCTGATAACTGACATGGGAAAAAAAGGAGTGGGTGGTTGTTGTTTTGTCACATGACAAAAATGAAGTGTTTGCACACGTGTGCACACGTGCAGAGGGAAATGAATAAAGTGAGATAAATACTTCAAGCCATATCTGACCACAGATCACAACTGCAACAACAATGGGTGCATTTTTATTGTAGGTAGCTCATGTTACACTAGTGCTAAAGACAAGGTAAGAAGGAGGCTTTAGACCAACTTAGTTACTCAGCTACCTGAATCCCCTAAAGACTAATGACTAAATTCTCTTTCCCATCATTAGCCAACCCATCAGCAGCACAGCTACTTCTGCTGCACCTTTCCATGCTGTTGCCACACTCCAGATTCTACCATACCCTCAAGGCCATATACTAGAGAGGTATGTCAATTTTTTGATCAATGTTAGAGGTTACAACTTTCAAGACCTATGCTACCTTCTGGTTAGTTTTTGAGAAGCAACATAGTGGGCCTCTTGAACATGGACACTTGGATTGTCTTCCAACCAAACCAACTATTTTTTTATGTTTTGCTTTTGCCAGACTTGTGGAAGTACTGTAGCTGGTAAAAACAAGAAAAGATCCCACCTAAGAAAAGAAATTTTAAAAATCCAACCGATCAGGCTATAAAATACCTCCAGTAAGGAGGAAGAAAAGTTAGAGCTACCTATTAAGGTCCACCAAGAATTTTCACTTAATTATATTTAAGGAGATTTAAAGCAATGATTTTTCACATTAGCAGAACTGTCAGGAAAAAAAAAAGCATACACACATTTATGCTTTTTATATGGAAATAAAAAATTTACAAGTAACCTTCAGATTCCCTTTTCTTCTTGCTAGTTTTTAAGAAAGAATTTGGCGTTTTAGCTTAAAATAATCTTCATGTTTCAAAATGGTTTTCCTCATAGAAACAAGAATAACTTTGTATATTTATATGAATTTCAAATTCTTTTGCATCATATTTTGTATGGTACTCCACCAAAAATTTTACAGAGGTGACAAAACTTTCCATTATTCTGGAAAACCAGAAAGTGAACCTAGAAGGATATTACTTTATACAACATATACCTCCCCAGTTCAAGGGTACATTTAGAATTCTTCAAAGTAAGATAAAAAGTCTGCAATTCATTACCAAAAAGTGTGCTCACAGAAATCCTGAATCAAATCTGCTAGGTAAGTTTGAAGAAAAATCCTTTTATCAGCCACATAGCTTGAATATCAACATATCTTGTTAATCCTTTCAGTTACATTATTACTTAAATGAACATGAACTTTGGGTTCTTTGCTAAAATTAGAAGCATGGTGCGAACTGTAGCTTTTTGTTACAGCTTTCTTTGTATGTAGTACACCTGCATCCTATAAAAATTAGCTGGAACAGAACTCACAGAAGTTGTGATTTGCATGTATAGTATATGAAAGCAAAATATAAATGAGCTAGAGTTTCTGAAGTAACTAGTTCTCATAATATTCAAGTATTTAAAGTAATCTAAGTTCTGCTCTGGTGTTTTTTTGATATCTTTTCAATTTTGCTTTTAAGTGCCCTGTTTCAAAAAATGTTTCAAACCTCAAGTTATTACAAAATTAATTTCCGCTATCGAAAAAGCTTTTTAGCATTCAGAGCACACTAACAGAAACAAACTGATTAAGTCCATGCATTCCACTGCAAACACCAAGCAACCTACTGCAGACAAAAATTACACCAGCACCACCACCCCAATTATACCCCTTATGATTAAACACTTTTCATAGCTGTTGTGATACCAGTTGTTGAAATGGAACAAAACATTGCTACAGAAAACATTATCTTAAGTGAGACTAACCTGTAATAAATAATTTATTAATAAAGGATGTGAAGGAAACTTGTGTCCTAAGTTTTCACTAGGCTGAATAAACTTAGTTTCTTCCATAAAGTTACTCGTTGTAACCATTTACAATTGCCAACTTAATCAGTGTAAGTTTATCAGAAGAGTCGTCTGTATCTTAAACACCAGGACAACAGGTCTTCAAGAATTCTGAAGTCTTAAGCTCACTTTTAGAAGTAAATTTCTATCTTGTCACTTGAATATATTACATACAATTCCCCCAAGCAGAAGGTCTCCAGGCAAAAAGAAAATGCAAGTGATTTTAAATCAAGAACATTCAATATTTTTCATACCTATTTCTTCTCCCAAAAGAGTAAGTTTTTACTAGCTGGCATGAGAAACCACAGGGAAAAAATAAATCACTAAGTTGTTGTCATTCTTGCTTTACTTTTATTTGTCCATATATATTAATGGGCTTCTGAAATGTCTTTTAACATTGTAGAACTCTCTTAACAATAAATGATATGGCAAATTCTAACAAGTACACATACTTGACCCAAAAAGATGCCAACTGGAAGAAACTTTTTTTTTTTTTGACAAGCTTGAATCAGCTCATCCTCACATTTTCAGTTGTGGTAAACAGTGAGCTTTTCCTAAAGTGACAGAAGCTTTCTAGTTGTTAACACATGCTATTGAGGACCATTTCATGCCGTAGGCTAACCAAGAGCAGAACATCATAAAACACAAGCAGTTTCAGTACTCTTTTCTTATATATTAAACTTTTAACATCACTTCTAAACCTTATGATTTACATACATACAGTCAGCACCTAAAAAAGTGAAGATATTTTCATGAGAAATTTTCATCACTTTAGAGACCTTTGAGCAACCACTGAAGTTGAGACTAGATGTGACCTTATACTTACATTTTGAAATTCAAGTAATAACGTTCTAATGAAGTAATCTGTTCTTGCTTGCTCGGCTTTCTAAACATAAAAAAACCAGTAATGAGTTGGAAAAAAAGATCAATATGCAGCATACAAGATATAACTAAGCCCCCAAACTTTAAACTTGGGTGTCTTCTTTTTAAATGTAGTCGGCTTGTATCTACAATTTCCCTGAAAGATGGACATCAAAACATTTATTTTTAAACAGCAGCAACTTAGCTTGCTCTACAAGATACCTGTGAAAGGCATTACTTTTACTTAAAATAAAAAAAAGTGAGTTTTCAAACCAGTAAGTGTCCCACCCTGCTCCTGAAACCATCAATAAACCTGAAGAGTATTTACAAGTACTTGTTTTGCTTTATTTCTCAATGCAGTTGTTTAATTTATAGATTGCCTCCCACAGCCATCCTTCTGTACTGCTTCAGCTATATAAAGTTCAGCCTGTCATCACTCTGCCCTGGGACATATCCTTTTGTTTTCCCCCCTTCTATTATTTTCAGCTAAGGATGAATCTGAATGGATCACCAATTATCTTGGTTCTGGTCAAAAAGCATAGCTTCTAGGCTCCCAGCATTTTCAAATCTGTCTTTGGAACATCAAGGAAATTTCATACTGTAGACACCGAACATTACCGTACTTAAAATACCAGTAATACCACAATCTGAAGATGGCTTTAAAAGCTTAGTATTACAGCTTCCTACAGTGAATTTGGAGACTGCGTATATACTTTAATATGTTCTTATCCATTACTAGGAAATTATCATTTTCCACCAACAATACAATTGCAACACTTTGCAGGTCAAAAGGAGATAGTGCATAGGCAGCAGCAATGGAGCCCATGTGCGCCAGTGTACCCAAAAGGTAACACGTTCTCAGCTGTACTGGAGAAGTCAACTACAACACATACACAATCCCTTTTCACAAATACTTGCCAGTTATGTTTACCCACACACAAAGAAACACACACACAAAAATTAAATCAAACCCACAAGT